TATAAAAAGAGGTTTTATTAAGGAAGTCTTGATATACATTATGCAATATAATTCACCCTTTCCTGTTTTCTCAAAACATCTTCAGTAAAGACTTGCGTTAGTTTTCAGTGTTTTTGGGGGATGGAGGGGGGCGGGATTTGTATTTCTTTTGGATGTGATAATGTACTCATACTGGTTTCTAAGTGGCTCAATTTTGTTCTTATTACATAATTACCTTACAGGAGTAAGTGATTTCACCACAAAGACTTGTTTAATAAGCATCACCTTTGCAAAACAGAGTAACACCAAGACAACTTCAATAAAATAAATGGATGAAATGCTGGCAAAATGAAACAAAACTATTAATTAGAAAACTTAGATGTTAAAGAGATTCCTGTAACAACAAACATAGTAAGAAAGATGATGTAAAAATGATGATTTTTTTTAAAATAGCATTTTCTAGTTAAAAAAATTGAAACTGCTTGGTACGGAACACTTGGAAAAGACAGAGCAGGAGTTCTCTACCTCTGCACTACTGATGTCTTGGGCCAGATAATTCTTTGTGGCCAGGGGGGTGTCTGGTGCATTATAGGGGTACTCAGTAGCAAACCTAGCCTCTACCCATTATATGCCAGTAGTACCCCAAACCCACACCAAGTTATGACAACCAAAAATGTCTCCAGATTGTCAAACATCACCTGAGGGCAAAATCACTCCTGGATGAGAACCATTAAAATAGAGAGATTACAAGTCAACTACTATCTAGAAATGTAAGCTTTTTGTTTGTGTAAGTAAAAATTACAAAACACAGTCACATTAACTTACCATTCTATAGCCAGTTTATATTTCACTCAGTAATAGAGCATCAACATTTTGTTTTGTAATATGTCTCTACAGCATAATTTTTTGATAGCGCAAGTACCTTATAATAACAAAATGATTCTAATTCCTCCTTCCCATCCCTTTTATCATTGCTATTATTCATTTCACTTACACATAATTATATATACACATATATGTATCATAAGCATATATAATCAAATACATAACTGCTATTTTACTTTATAACAAACTGATGTTAGATCAATAAAGAATAAGGAAAATAAAAGTTTTTATTTTACTTTCACTCATTTTTTTTCTCTGATGCTTTTCCTTTCTTTATGTAGATCCAAGTTTCTGACCTTTACTATTTTTCTTCTGTCTAAATAACTTGCTTTAACATTTCTTGCAGGACAAGTCTACTGGCAACAAATTCTCTCCATTTTTTGTTTGTCTGAGAAAAATCTTTATTTCCCCTTCACTTTTGAAAGATAATTTCACAGGGCACAGAATTCTAGGTTGGTCAGGTGTTTTTTTTCTGTGAGCACTTTAAATATTTTACTTCACTCTTTTCTTGCTTACATGGTTTCTGAAGAGCAGTCAGACATAATTCTTTGTTCCTGTGTAGGAAAGGTGTTTCTTTTCCTCTGGCTTCTTCAGGATTTTCCCCCTTATCCTTGATTTTATATAGTTTGGGAAAGATATGCAGTTTTTCTAGTATTTATTCTCAGTGTTCTGTGAGCTTCCTGAGTCGGTGGTATAACATTAATCAGGGGGAAATTATGTTATTATTGTTACAATATTTGTTTCCGTTCCTTCCTTTTCTTTCTTCTCCTTCAGGTCCCACTGTAGGTATGTTACACCTTGTGCAGCTGTCCCACATTTCTTGGATATAGTGTTTTATTCTTTTTTTTTTTTTTGGTCTTTTTTTTCTCTTTACTTTTGAGTTTTGTAGGTTTCTATGGAGATATCCTCAAGCTCACAGATTTATTTCCTCAGCGTTGTCCAATCTACTAATAAGCCCATTTTTTATTTCTGTTGCAGTTTTCTGTGTGTTTTTTTTTATTAATTTTTTATCTTTAGCATTTCTTTTCAGTTCTTAAGATATCCATCCCTCTGCTTGCATTGCTCATCTATTCTTTCATGGTGTCTACTTATTAGAGCTCTTAGCATATAAATTATAATTGTTTTCAATTCCCTGTTGGATCATTTCAACATCTTTGCCATATCTGAATCTGGTTCTGATGCTTCCTTTGTCTCTTCAAATTGTTTTTTTGCCACTTTGTATGTCTTGTACTTATTTTCTGGATAGTCAGACAAGCTGTAGTGGGTAATAGAAATAGCTGGGCACTGATTCCCAGGGAAGTACCTGCTTGCGGTTTTCTGCTCCCACTGTCATAATCTGTTGTATTCACCTGTCCCTCTGTCTAACTTTGGGGGTAGTGGTTTGCCCTGTGGTCTCAGTTTTCCTTTAGATCTATGAAAAGTTGTTGATTTTTCAGCTTGTTCAGGTTTCTCTTGCTGTTTAGACCTACTGCATATTTTTATTTATTTTTATTTTTAACCTACCTTTATTGTTGGAAGTATTACAGATGTCCCCCTTTCCCCTCCCATTGACGCCCTCCATCCTGCTCCCGCCCCCTCCCCAGGCCTTCACTCCATTATTCTCTGTGTCCGTGGGTTATGCATATAACTTCTTCAGTTAATCTCTCCCTGCTCCCCTCACCCGCCCCTTGTAGATCAGTCTGTTGCATGCTTCAGTGTCTCTGGGTTTATTTTGTTCTTCAGTTTATTAAGTTCTTTAGATTCCACATATAAGCGAGATCATGTGATGTTTGTCTTTCTCTGCCTGGCTTATTTCACTTAGCATAATATTCTCCAGGTCCCTCCATACTCTCCCAAAGGGTACGAGATCCTTCTTCTTTACAGCTGTGTAATATAACATGGTGTAAATGTCCCACAGCTTTTTTATCCACTCATCATCTACTGATGGGCACTTGGGCTGTTTCCAGATCTTAGTTATTGTAAACTGTGCTGCTATGAACATGGGGGTGCATATATTCTCTCTGATGAGTGCTTCAGGATTCTTAGGATATACTCCTAGAAGTGGGATCACTGAGTCAAAAGACAGCTTCATTTTTAATTTTTTGAGGAACCTCCATACTGTTTTCATAGTGGTTGCACCAGTCTGCATCCCCATCAGCAGTGTACTAGGGTTCCCTTTTCTCCACATGCTCGCCAGCACCTGTTATTTGTTGATTTATTGATGGGAGCCATTCTGGCAGGTGATACCTCATTATGGTTTTAATTTGCATCTCTTTGATGATTAGTGACATTGAGCATTTAGAATATACTGTATTCATGAACTGGTAGAATTAACATCATTAAAATGTCCATACTACCCAAAGTAATCTATAGATTCAATGCAATCACTATTAAAATGCCAATGGCATATTTCACAGATCTAGAACAAACACTCCAAAAATTCATATGGAACCAAAAAAGACCCCAAATTGCAGCAGCAATCTTGAGAAAAAAGAACAATGTTGGAGAGATTATAATACCAGATATCAAGTTATACTACAAAGCCACTCTAATCAAAACATCCTGGCACTGGCACAAGAACAGGCATATAGATCAATGGAACAGAACTGAGGACCCAGAAATCATCATTATGCTCAATTAATATTTCACAATGGAGGCAAAAGCATACAATGGAGTAAAGACAATCTCTTCGATAAATGATGTTGGGAAAATTGGACAGGTACATGCAAAAAAAAAATGAAACTAGGTAACCAACTTACACCATACACAAGAATAAACTCAAAATGGATAAAAGACTTAAATGTAAGTTGTGAAACCATAAAAATCCTAGAAGAAAACATAGGCGGCAAAATATTAGACTTCTTACATAGCAGAATTTTCAGATACATCTCCTAGGGCAAGAGAAGCAAAGAAAAAATAAACAAATGGAACTACATCAAACTAAGAAGCTTCTGCACAGCTAGGGAAACCATCATCAAAATGAGAAGGGAACCCACTGTATGGGAGAACATATCCACCAGTGATACATCTGATAAGGGGTTAATTTCCAAAATATATAAAGTAGTTGTACAATTCAACAAAAGAAAGACAAACAATCCAATTAAAAATGGGCAAAAGACCTGAATAGACACTTCTCCAAAGGGGACTTACAAATGGCCTCCTGTGTATTTTTAAATGGATGCCAGTGTTAAAAAAAACAATAAACTTAGTCACTTTAAAATGAAGTTGAAACTACCATTCCAGAAGAACTGCCTTGCACATCCTATGCCTCCAAACTTGGGAATGTTAAAACAGGGCAAATTAACCTTTGGACTGGTCATGAAACAACACTGCATCTCAAACAAGAAAGCAGATATTATTACTACTGTACTGATGGCTACCAGACTGAAAATTAAAAACACTTTAAAATTAATGTCACAATATTAGCTTATCTGCACCAATAGAAATGCCTTCCTTCCATTAATACAATTGTTTCCTTTTTCTTTCTCATAAATACCCCTTGCCTTTGTCTCCTAATTGAAACACTATTCGGGCTTCTCCTTGAATCAGTGCTTCCTGAATAGCTATTCCTGCTCTGACCTCAAGTAAATGTTTGTTGCCTCTCATTTTGGCTTTTTATATTTATGTTATCTCATAGTCTGGGAGATTCTGATTGTTTGAAGTAAGGCTAAACTAAATATATCTTATTATTTCCTTAGACTAGATTCTTGTGAGTGGACTTGAAGCTTAAAGAAAAAGCATTGACATTTGGTGCTGTCCACTGGTAGGATGCTGGCCTTCAGGGCCATCTCGCCCTCACCCATCAAATTCTCTCTCCAGAGCATGTCCGCAGGATTCTCCCGACCCCTCCACGCGCCTGCCTTACTGGTCCTCCGCTAGCTGCCCAATGGAGGGCCGCTTTCAGTCAGGGTTGGTGAGCCCTCCACCGCCAGGGGGCACTGTAGCATCGGCGGCCGCCCCGGACGAACCGGGCGCCGCTCTCCTGCGGCAGAGGCGCCGTTACAGCCGCCCACGCCCCCTCGCCGCGGGGCTTGGGGAAGTGTTTCTAGGAGACGGCGCGGACCGACTGCGCCTGCGCGATGGGTTCGGCCGGGGGCGGGCCGACGGTCCGGGGCTCTGCCCAGTTGAACTAGTTCCTGCTGGGTCTGGGTCGCCGTCGCCTCCCGGGTTCCCTTGCCTCACGCTACGCCCGTGAGGTGGCCTGCAGGCCAGCGTCTCCTCGGGATGGAGCACATCCGCACGACCAAGGTAGTCGGGCGCGTCACATCTGTTTGTCGCCTCTCTGGTCTCACGGGGCGGGGGCGGGAGACGGGGAGGGCTCGGTCGGCCTGAGGAGGGCTGAGGACCAGTCGGGCGGGGCCCGGC